CAGATTTGTTACGTTTATGTCAAAAATCCACAAACATGGATGGAAGAAAAAAACAAAAAAACAAAAAAAAACCAACAACCTCTGACCCAGCGTTAAGTATAGTGGCACATCCATGAGCCTGTGGGCCTGTTTCCCTTCAAAATCAACACTCGGATTCAAAGTCTCAAAGTGCGACCGGTTTAGCACAGGTTCAATGTCGAGCACGACGGTGGTGCCGTCATGCTGTGGGGTTGATTTACAGCAGAAGCTGCAGATTTTCTTTTTTTGTTTCACCTAAAATCGGCAGCTGGTTTCGATTCGACTGAAGAGGGGAAACAGCATCTATTGTGCTGCTAGAGTTATGCTAGCAGCTAATCTAGCCTTAGCCTCCAATGATCACAGAATAAAAAGCTTTGGTCTGAGGGTTTGAAATGTAAACACATGTATAGATTAAAGGGCATATAGAAGGAAATGAATGGACGAGATGAGAGCAGGGCTTTTAAGTTGGAGGGTTGTTTTCTTTTTTGTTTGTTTTTTCCTTTCTGGCTGCTAATCGATGTCTGGAAGAAATCCAGCAGCTCTCCATTTCTCTCGCACTTGCAGACAAAACACCTTTAAAAAAAGAAAAAGGAAAAAAAAGCCTTCGATATCATTAGCTGTCATGTTTCACGGTGGGTAACACAACAGTGCACGGGTATAAACAGCTCACCAGCGAGTCTAGAGGGTACACTGGGCGCGCACCGCGGAGTGGGTGGAGGGGTGGCGGGGTGAGTGGATTACAGCGGGTCTCGGTGTGTACGGGGTGAGGGTTGGGGGGGAAAGCGTGGCGGCAACTTGGCTCCGTAATGGGATTTTTCCCAGTTGCCTTTGCTGCCGCTCACGTACACACACGCACGCACGTGCGCGCACACGTACACACACCCGCACACACACACACACCGAACGACACCCGCGCGCAAACACACAGATCCAACTCCAAACAAGCAGGTTAGCTTGAACAAAGCAGAGCACATATCCTGTCTGAACAGCGAGCGGTAAGCTGCGGCAGAGCACCAGCTCAGTTAAAGACACATATCCCCCCCTCACCTCTCCCATCCTCACAAAGCCTGGGGGGAGGGGGGGGAGGGGTGGGTAAGCTGGATGAGGGTGAGGAGAGGTTGTAAAGACGACGCTACACCATCCACCGCTGCTTAGGGAAAGAGGAGATTTGTAGGAAAAAAGGACGAGTGACTGGAGTAAAAGAGAAATAGTCAGAATCTGCCTCACATGTTACTTTATATTCTATCAATTACTGGAGCTTTTCCACTGCCCCAACCAGGACCTGCAATAAAATGGGAATATGTCATTTGGACTTGAGATTTTGAGCCATTTATTGTGATTACAGACTCAAATTTCCAATCTAATAACTGATGATGTCACTGATTCTGTCCTCCATATTGGCTCTGGTTCCCTTTAAGGCTCAGTCCAACTCACAGCGAGCCTTCTGGGGGTTCGGCTGGTTTTGGTCAGCTGCAGTATTGGAGACTTTTACGGATTTCACCGGGACAGCAGAAAAAAAAAAGTACCTTTGTCTCCATCCAGGACATTTACGTCATGAGGTGCAAGACCCTCTGAATGTTCCTCTGTAAAGTTGAAGCAGAAGCTTAAAGGAGCGAGAGCAGCCCGGGATCGACACTCTGGTGGCCTGACCTGCAGGCCACCAGAGGCGAACCCACCCTCCAGCTTCTGAACTGAGCCACACCCCTCCATCGGTGAGCCGTGTCCTCGCAGAGTGAACATTTCAGACGTGGAAGCTAAAAACAGGTTCCTACCCTGTCATCCAGCCCGAGAACAGACCCTCCTCCGCTATCTCCCTCAGAGTGTCTCCACCCGAGGAAGCGTCGTGCGGAGGCATCCGCCAGCAGCCCGTGTTTAGACCGAGGCAGTTTAATGAGCCTTTACCCACCAACTCCGACCAGGCCGCCTCCGCTCTCCCCGTCAAAGCCGAGGAAAAGCTCGGGGAGACAACTGTCCCCCTGTGCTGGGAAGGGAGCGGGCCAAATCAAACAGCGACTGCCGCAGCAGGAAACGTCCCGCTACAAGTCCAGGGTTGGCAGGGAAACGGCTTCTCCGTGTGCACGGCTATGAATTATTCCCTTTGTATGAAAAGATTGTCTCTCAAAACGGACCGAGCGGCAACCAGGACCGGTAGGATCGGTTCTTGACCTCTCCGCTCATCATCGGTCATCTGCGGGAAGCGTGTGCATCGACTGAGCGGCGGTTTGTTTCCCGCCACATGCTAAACCAGTTGAAACACTGGTTGGAACTGGACCTTCCTCTGAGGGTGGAAGAAGCTTTTCTCTAACAGGTCTGAGGCAAAAAATGTAGAAATATGACAAACACAAGACGACATGGTCCCAGCATGTGTGCATGAGACCAGTAAGAGTTTGGTCCGCAGTGGAGGTTGGACTGGGGGATTTTGGGGGAAGTAGAAAAAGGCTGAGTAATTTATCGTTTAAAATGTTCTTATTTTTTAGCTAAAACAGAACAGAACCAGGAACTTGATGGTGAAATACGCTGAAGTTTCAGAAGCAAACAAATTAAATTTTGCTTTTTACAAAAGAAAAAATATTTTCCAGCTTGATAGTTATCCTTGCAGTTTAAAAAAAAAAGATGAATAACACAAATGGAAACTATTGAGTTTCTTTAAAGTAATCATGCGGTCAAACTGATTTAGTGCTGATTGCGACAGGCCTATTTGCAGATAAACCATGTGGGTCCGGAGCGGTCCAGGGTCTGGGACGTCGATTCTGTCTCTCCGGGTCAGGAGAGACGCTCATCAGCGGGAACAAGTTGGGGACGATCCAGGACCGACTGGTGCATTAGTTAGCGGAATTATGTGAGTCATGGCAGCACCGGCTAGGAAACGCTCACCGGCCGGATTAGATAATGCTATTATCAGGATGACGGTAGCATCAGGAGGAGAGACGCATTAGCACGGATAATTCGACGCATCCGGCAGCAGAGAATCACCGTTAAATCAGGAGCATTACGCCCCAAACAGATGAGATCCAGATAGAAAGGCGCGAGGCATTAAAGTCGACGGCAAATCTTCGAATTACAAGTCACGGCAGTAAACAGGTGTTTTAACAAAGCGGGGTAGAAAAAAACAAAAAAAATTAAATACAAGCTCTCCGCTTCCAGCCGATGAAGCTCAGAAACACAAAACGCCTGATTTACAGAGTGATCGGCGTTAAACCCGCAGGCGCCACACTCCTCCTGTTTTAAAGCTGAACCCAGTGGAGGTACAAGCGGAACCAACCAGCGACTCGAAACCAAGACGGAAACGGTGAAACGCCAAACCCATTTCCTCCTCCTTCCAAGGAGTCTCAAGCAGTTCTTCCACCGGAGCTGCTCAGGTCTCCAGCTCCTCCAGAGATCCTGCGAACGTAGAGAACCCGAATACTAAGAGAAGCGCTGCTTCTCAACAACAAGCCTAAGAAACTACCCGAGTAAAAATGGATTTGGTAAAAAAAAAAAAAAGTCTACTCAATGCTGAGTAACTGATCAATTTATCAAGCATATATATTTTTTCCAAATCAATTTCTTTCAATAAGAAAATGTTAAACCGTGACCAGGACTGTCTGAGTCTGGTGACGTTTTGGTGAAACCCAGAAACAGATGCTTCAAAATAAAATGAACACAAAACAGTAAAAAGTGACTCAAGCTAACGTAATTAGCCGCCGGCCAACTCGAAGCCGCCGCGTCGTCCAGCGTCGCTGCCTGCCCTGAACCCGCCACACGGCAGCAGCAGGTCGCCTCCGCCCGGAAGACGCCGCGCCGCTATTTTGTCTTTACATATTTAGCTGCTGGATATTTGAATGTGAATGAGTGCGGCGGGATCGCGGAGGGTGTTTTTGTTGACTGGAATTAGCGTTTTGTGAGCAAGCTTTTCTTCTCCATTCTCCCCCGTTCCTTTCTCTCCTCTCCAAATTACAGCTATTAAGACGAGGCTGGAGCGAGCCAAACATGCCGCTCCACTTAATGTGATTTCCCTCCCTCCCTCCCTCCCCCACCCTGCCCCACATCACCACCCCACGCACCAAGAACAGGAATAAGAGGCAATGATTCATGGGAGCGCCGCAGCAGAGAAAGAGAAACGGGAAGATGTCCACCTCCGACGTGCTAACCGCTAACGCCGGGCCTGGTTTGCTGTGTAATTGCTCCTTCTCTTCCAGTCTGAGCCGATGAGCTTAAAGCAAACATAATCATTTATGACGTTCTGTATTTAAGTCTGGCCAGTTGTTACGTTGCCACAACACTAATCCACTGAGTAGAAAGCGCCACGCTAACCCGGATCTGGCCTCTAGCCTTAACGTGGCTTTATCCTCTTCCTGCAGACCGATCCGTCTGCAGCGATCCCCGCTCCCTCTGAACTCGCTATTTATTCCTCCACCGTCGGCCGCGGCAGCTTTCAACACACCAGACGGACGGAGGAGGAATCGAGCTGGACAGCTCCGGTCGAGGCCTGTGATCGGCCGGGCTCTGGGGACGCTGTACAGGAAGAGAGCGGTGTGCCGCCAAGGGGAGAAGAAACAGGAACGGGAAGCAGAAACTGGTGGGAAAGTCGGAGGACGAGGGATCAGATTCTACTGCGGGACGGCCAGACCAAACCCTGAGATGAGAGGAGGCCGAGGGCCGGGAATGCTATTCTAGCCTGAAAGAGCCTCTCAAATCTAAACATGTAGCAGCTGATGCTAATGTCCACAACTCACATTTCTAAAGCAACTCCATGAACGATCAGGACTTCCTGAAACACTTTGCTCCAATTTGATTCTATAAAGACTATAAATATCTTTGTCACTGACATCAGATGTATATTTAGTCAATAGTTTTGCAGTAAAAAGGGTTCCTGAATTAAAATCTTTACTTATTTTCTGGATAGAAATTAATCCTGCTACTTGTTAACGTTAATCTGACGACCTGTAACATTTGTGACAGCAATAAAACACAAGGAGGAAGAATCTGTAGGGGATCCTTACCTTACAGTCTTCTCAGAGTTACGCCTCCCATCCAGCTCCGGCTAATGAAACGCCTCCAGCTGGCGCTGCTCCTCCTGCAGGAGATGCTGCATGAAGCTGCCCCGGCCTTCCCTGCAGATGAAGGCTCGGCGCAGCCCGCAGCGCTGCCGGGACGGCCCAGACAAACGACAGTTCAGCGGGGTGGGGTCCCTGGGCAGAGGGCCGGGCGCAGCCTCTGCCGCTGGACCGTCGCTGGCTGGCTGCGCTAATGGCTCCCCAGACGGCCAGGCTTGACCTCGCGGGCCCTGAGCGTTCATTACCAGCTGGTTAGCAGGAGCAGCAGTGTGAAGAGCTACTGCTGGTAAACTACAGCTAGGGGTTAAAGCTGGTGTAACGGGGTCACCTGGAGCTGCTGCTGCTGCTGCTGCATGCCTGGATCCGTCTGGTAACCAGCTCCCAGTTCAGAATGGATTCAGATATCTCGACCACTTCCTGGAAAGCAGCCAGACAGCTACTTCCTGGGTCAAAGGTCATCAGAGAGTCCACAGAAACCTGAAATCAAAAATAAAGACAACATTGGGCATATATTTGGTTGCTCAAGGTTTCAAAATGTCAATATCCAAAACAAACGCTGCAGCTGCAACATTGTCACCAGAAATCCCACAACAATGCATTCGCTTGCATCTTAAACACAAAATCATGAAACTGAGTCTACCTTTGTTTCCAGAATGTAAACGCGTCCAAAGCTCGCTTCATAACGGCCGTCTGTTGTAGTTGGTGGTGCTAAGCTAACAAGTTTGGCAACTGGCAGCAAAAAGGAACTTCATTAAAACTGATCAGAGTCAGATTCATTTGTTCCTTTGAGAAAAGAAACTTCTCAAACAGCTCAGTCTGACAGAGGAAGTGAGGAAACAGCAGGTCACATGACTTCCTGTCAGTCTTCATATATAATTCAACAGGGCAGAAATAATGCGACCCGCATGGACTGGAGGTCAAAGGTTATGCTCGAGTTCTTCTAGTGGCTACTGAGGTCTCCTGTTTTTTATAAAATGGGAATAAGTCTTTCAGCAACAATAGTGTGTCACTGTCAGACTTTTCAAGATGGCCGACAGAAACGCAGAGGAAGCTGAAGGGCTTTCTGGGAAACGTAGGCAGTGCTCTGCAGTTGGACCGGGTGTGTCATGCTGCAGGTTTGCTTGAGTTTCACCGGATAATAAACTGAACAGGACGAATATGACGATGACAAGATTTTATTCATAGATCCACCTCAACTAGAAACTCAATATTTGAGTCCAGAGTGGAATCTGACAAAAAGTTCACCAGCCGGTTCTGAGATGTGGATAATAACCCGAACAGGCTATTTATCCCTTTGAACGTTTATGATTTGGTCTTCATCTTTATCATGTTGCTACGAAATGATTCTGCAAGCTTTTCTGCAGTAACAGTAAATGTGACAAAGCAGGTGTTGAATATGGCACCTGAAATCACGTCCAGGAAACGCCAAGAAGCAACTTGTTAGAGGCATTTTATTGGCATAAAGCTGAAACGTGTCCATAATTCTCAGTTTTTCAGGTGTTTCTAGCTAAATTTGACATAAAGGAGTGAAACCTTTGGGAAGCTTTTCACACAGTTTCCAGACAAACAGAATCCTCAAAACTTCTTGAAATTTTGTTCTGCCACTGTCCGACTCTTCGTAAGAATAAAAATCGCAAAGTTTAGCCTCATTGGGACGTATTGAACTAATAGTGGACTGGACAATCAGAGTCGCAGTTGAAAAAAATTGAAATCTGCCTCCAGTTTTCAGTGATTTGATGGTGGATCAAAACGACACCTCCGAGTGGATTTTCCTTCTCGACCTGGTGTCTGTGTCTGACAGTTGGGACGCCGTCTCCTGTCCCCTTCGTTCCAGTAAAGCAGACAGAAGTTTGAGGCTGAGCAGAGAGAAAATGTCCTCTTGGCCCAGAGCGGCACTGGGAAGCTTTCCACAAATCTCTCTTGGCGTGTTCCCTTTGTTGGTTTTCCAAAGACAACATGGAGGATCCAGCAGCAAGAGGGAGGGTTTTCCCAACAACCCCCCGTCCCAGAGGGGCGCAGGCAGAGGGGAGGAGGGTTATTATCCGGTGCACCCTTGCTATGACGATACACGGTGGAAGAGTCTTTTCTGTGAATCATCCGCCGCCGCTTCTAAGCCCGTTCCGACGGCCGGCTGTTTATTTTAGGGCCTGTAAGAAGATGAGGCTCTTTTGTTGCATTGTGGGAAACAAAACAGGGATAAAGACGTCAGCGCTGAGTGCTCGACGTTTGGGATTCAGTCGAGCGGCGTCTCCGCAGAGAACAAAAGTTTCCTCTCTGCGCAGACTTCTTCTGGTCATTTGCATTTGAGTATTTTGGGTTTTTTTTTTCTTCCATGTGTGTTTTCTGAGGCGACGGCGATAAGGATCGTATCCGAGCCCGCAGCGCCGCTCCGGTCCCTCCTGTTTGTTTGGTCCTGGGATTAATTACCATAGCCATACGCCTGCCTAATGCGGCCTGACACTGAGGCAAACTTTCCCTACTGTAATTACAGCAAACATCATTAGCCTGATTTGGTTTTTGTGACGATCCGCGCCGTTATTTAATCACGACTCGGAATGTGGGGGGAGGACGGGGAGGAAGTCACGGATTCCTCGACTATGTCCCAATTTGGAGCAAAATATCTCATTCTGTCGTCTCTCGCGGCAGAGATGAGCAGCTCAGGTGTGAAAATGTTGATTTTGATGATCATTATTATTACTGTTATTGTTATTTCTCAAAGTTTGATAAGTAGGGAGAAAGTGTGTCGCGCGCTCACCCCTCACCAGTTTGAAAGGAGGCGACCAAACTGGGAAACTAATGACTGATTAGTCATTCAGTGTGAACTAAAGCTGAATCTCATCCGCTTTTCGAGTCAAACTCGCTAAGTCATTAATATTCTTCAGAGAAGGGGACACTGCATCTTTCATGACCTCGCAACCTTTCTGTTTTGGTTTTCTGTGTCGGAACCGAAGATGTTTTTAGGTTACCTGAGTTGGCTGGAAATTGTGTACCTCTGTTTAAGGAAAATAAAATCCTTTTTGACATCTTTCTCATATCAGAATCTTTTTGGGGGTGTTTGTGGAACATTTTAAACATTTCGTTTCCTTTTAAAGTATTTTCCTCTCGACGTTTGGCCAGAGGGTAAATACGCGCAGTGGACGCCGCAGACGCTAACATCTGTACCTGGAAGACCCTTGAAAGAAGCGTTTTTAGACATCTCTGGCTCTCTTTGGTATTCTTTGGTCCTTCTTTACCACCTTGATGGGGTTTTTTTTGGTGTCTTTGAAGAATAAAAGGGGAATTTCTTGCACCTTTTAGGTGTAGATCACCTTATGCTGATGGCCCAGGAACAGAGAAGCATCCCAGACAAATTCTGCATGACTGAGAAGATTCTGAGGTGACGAAGCTGACGTCGCCGTTCTGCTCCCGCTGAGTTCAGGATTAAGCATTCTGCTCCAGGTAATGACACGCTTCCTTCTTTCATTCCAATAAGAAATCATCCATTATTTAGCTCCCAACCTCTGCGCCAGGCCTCCCCCTCTCAGATGGCTGGGGCGCCCCGCTGGCTCCCGCTTCAAGGACGAACGTGGCGGCAAAGAGAGGAGCCGACCTCAGCCACCAGACAGAGAGAACGGGAGGAGGAGGAGGAACTGCACACGCTCACAAACACACACCTTTACAGAAGAAGTGCGACCCAAATATACATTGCTTTGTACTCTGCTTGAAAGTTTCCCGTCCTCTTCCGTCCTCGGCACGTTCAAGGAGAGGAGAAAAACACGACAATGAATAAATCATCCGGCGGCTCCCTGGAACCGTTCCTGAAGAGAGGGAGCCTCCCCGCCTCGGCGTGGAGGGAGACAAAGACGGGAGGTGGGGTTGAAAGGGAGACACAGAGAGCAAACACCTCTTTGGTCTCCTCTCTCATGGAACACGCCATTTCTTGATTTGCTCTTAAATCCATCATCAGTGGAGCTAATAATCTGAGGCTGTGAAGCAGCAGATCACATGTCCCCAGTGAGCACTTGAATTACAGGAGCCAAACACTCCAAGAGCCCATTAACCAACTTCACACGTTGATTCGGAGCGCCGGGCTTCCTCCTGGAACGTCTCGAATCAGCAGCTGATTTCTGATCTCCTATCTGGAGTCTTGTGCGGACGCTGTCGGCTCCTGGCGAAAACGTCTGAGTGTCGGGAGGATCCCTTGATCGGTCCTGGGAATCGACACCAAAGGTCGCCAAGAGTTTGTACCTACGGCGCCAATTCGACACCAAACGTACTTTTAGTCATCCAATCGATTGCAGTTATCAATCAATCAAGTACAGTTAATTATTCCAGTTGGTTTAAAAGTTTTCTATCAAGTCGTTAACTTGATGAATTCACTCCTCCTGACCAGCAGGTGGCGACAATGGAGAGGAAACGCTCCAGCAGAACTAAAACCTATGATGACTGACTGGAGGTTTGAAAAGATGGAAAAGAAACAGAAGAAGTGAACCAGGGTCGTCCATCCGTCTGTGAACGTCTCGGCTGGTTTTTGTTTGTTGCACAGTCTGATACGGTCAGACAAAACCGCCCAAAAAGTTTTTAGACAAAACCTAAAAACTTTTGCACAATTTCCAGAATTTCAGTAACGACCCGGAGTCTGAAACATCTTCATTGCTCGTGTAAAGCGGGTGAATCTTTAGGAGACGCAGGATGTCCCCAGTGTGTCCACCGTCCAAGCGGGACCGTCAGTAAACGTTGCTTCCAATCCGTCTCGGGGCCCGTCAGGATTATTAACAGCTTTATTGATTTTGATGGCAGAGCGGCGCAGCGACAGCGCAGACAGCTGGACATGGAAAAGTTGACACGGATCTGGGCATCAGAGCTGATCTGTCAATAAGAGGCTGAACGGGACCTGTCCCCTCCTCCTCTCGTCTCCGTGTCCCTGTCTCCCAGTTGGGAAGTTGTCTGGGTGAAATAAACCTCAGTAATGGCTCTGCTTTGCTGCTAATCTTGTCATAAGAAGGTGCAGCCTCGAAGGACGGCTCCTTGCGTGTGATATCCTAATTTAAACATCAAAAGATCCCATCATTAGGAAGCGGGCGTGGAGCCCCACTTTTCAAGGGAAATTATTACATCTCGCCGCTGCTCCGGCGTAATGCGAGAAGACGTTTCTGTCAAGCTCGTAAATCTCTCTGGACCTGATGTTTGTGCACTTGAAGAAAAACATCATCATTAGCAGCTTTTCCTTCTGATAGACGGCGCGCTGAGTGTCGGTGTCGCGGCGTGCCGGGCTCTGATGTTAGCCTCCTCTGGAGCTGCCGTCTTGCAGGCTGGGATCTGCTGGATGGGAGCCCGCTTTTCGGGACGACACGCAAAGGAACTGACGGATGTCGCTGAGCAATCAGGCGTCCCACACCTGGCCAATGTCGTCGTCGTCTGTGTGACAGGTGCAGGTCCAAAACGACAAAAACTAGCTTAAAACTAGCAAGCTGGATTATCAGTGATGAGCCCAGTTG